GTGTGTGTGTGTGTGTGTGTGTGTGTGTGTGTGTGTGGCTGTGTGCGTGTGCGTGTGCGTTATTCGACGCATCAAGCGGTATCGGTGCGTACCCCGCAGTCGTTGGCACCGTCACCACACATGCCCACGAAGTAACCAAGCTTCTGCAGCACCTCAACGACGACTGCCTTCTGGTCAGGAGACATCCGAGAGAAAACCGTTCCCCTCACTAAAATCTGTAAGGATGTGTGGAGAATATTCTATACAATAGAATACACGGATTGTACCTGTACTCACGGAGTAACTATATACAAAGGGTCTATGTTCCTATTCCACACAGGATGCAAGCCGCTTGGCGATAGTGGCATCAGCTATAGACGTTTGACGTAAACTATCAAGCCAATTACATTTAAGTAGGTTAACCGAGTGATGCTCATCTATTTATGTTAAAGGGACGCGTTCTATATTAGTAGAATTTTTTTACAAATAAAGTTTTTGAGATCTATGAAAAATAAAACTATACTTTTCGTCGGTCTTTATTGTTTATTTTTGCCTTATTGTACTTGCATTTTGGTGTTCGGTTCGATGATGACAATCATTCATATACGCACGTATAGCGAGCAATAACATCCGAGACAGGTCGGTGATGTATTTAACGACATTCAACTTTACATGTAAAAGACATTCAATTTATCTAACAAATACACCTCCCATAAATGCATTGACACTAAGTACTGACAACAATACATACACGGGGCAGCAAGTCGGGATAACTGTATCTGATGACGTCAAATGTTTTGCCGTCAACGGCAAAGCGGTACGCCTCATTTTCATCCTGTAGTTGTACGTGTACTGCGGTCGAGTCCTGCAACAAGAAAATATGTTTATATAGACAGAGTGTTGAGAATAGTATATTGTAAATTGTATATCGTATATTGTATATCGTATCTTAGTATATTGTATCTTAGTATATTGTATATTGTATATTGTATATTGTATATTGTATGTCGTATGCCGTATATCGTATATCGTATATTATTGTATATTATATATTGTATATTAATATATTAGTATAGCGTATATATTATTAATTTATATTGCTCACGTTTTCCGAGGCGACGGTGTCCAGCTCGCTCCCCTCGTGCTCATCCGGGTCCTTGAAGTTGACGTACTTGTATCGCAGCAATGGCGCCTTCGTGCCAGGTACCAGCTGTGTCGCATCGACCGACACCATGATCGCCTTCTGAGACTTCAAGATCATGCCGCAGTGGCGCGCTACGCTGAGTGCAGTCAGCGTATTATCACCTAGGTAGCAGGAGCGGAGTACCGTCAAAACCTAATTCTACCCATAGATATCCTATAATATACTTGAACGTACTATTTATATGTATATACATATAATATAATATAATATATGATAATAATCTTACGTACACGTCAACGCTAGAACGGTCATCTCAACCAGATCAATGTAGAGAAACTCAAAGTCAGTTATGTTGGAGGCAACCTGTAAAGTCACAGATTAGGTACGAGGTAGTAAAACCATCACTGCATCAAGTCTATACATCACAACAAACTAACGAATTACGAATGTAGAATACGTAGATCGTATGCTTAATATTGCGATTATTAACGGAGAATGATTCTTACGTAATAGAGAATCATGACGCTGACAAACTGGACCAGACTGTAGGAAGCCATGTATTTGAAGATAGCAAATGATGTAACCAGTGCACATCTTCCCTCCCTGCAAGAGGCAAAGGCAACACGCATTGTTTACGTTAGCACTTAAAAGTTTGTGGAGCATAATGCATCACGTAGCGCACCTAATGCTTTCAGAATAAAACGTAATGATAGCCAGATGGCTGGGATCTCAGTGCATTATAATTATAGCAGCAGTTCATTGTACGCGGTATTTGCTTAGCTAAAGAACCGCGCTAATACCATCACCAGCTACCGCTAAAAGAGCTCTGTGCGATTAGACGCCACAATTCGCGATGCTTGTGTGATTGCCCTGTTGAGCAGCCTTCTAGAAGATCACAATGCAAATTAACGCACTACTTTTAGTCATCAATGCGCTTTGTGAATTCTAGTCACTTGGACAATAACACCGGCGCAATAGTTCTATTCAATACTCCGTATGTAGAAACGTCTGAGAATAGTCAGTTAGATGTAGAGAATAGAACTGAATCAGAATAGAGAGAGGGGGAATAAACAACACATTATCTGACATGTTTCAACCTAATAAGAGTAGGCACGCATGTGATGTCTGGGTCTTTGGACGTGAACGGCGATGCAACCGATGCTTCCGTCTCTGAGAGAGATATGCCGGCATGGGCTGCCTTCAGAGCCTGAAGAATAACGAAGTATCTTAGCACACAGGCACATGCGCACATCCCAGTACAGTCACCAACGGCTAACAAGCACGATGTTGGGGGTAAATTTTAGCGTCCCGTAGTCAGACAGTAGTTTAGTATGAATTACAAAATAAAATTTGTAATTCGCCCCTGGAAAATGGGTACATGTTTATCCAAAGAATACAAACTGTCATTATTTGTAGACACCTTTCGAGTAGCAGAATGCAACTGGACCTGTACTCACGCAATGATAACCTGGATGAGAAGGCAATAATAATATATTATTGCCCGCTAATCCGGGAACTTCCCTGTGCGTCGTATCGTAATTTATTTTGGCAATAATAGATAAATGAAAGTGACAGCTGACGTTAGCATCATACTACTGCTAACAATACCACTTAAAAATATAAAATACTTATATATTTTTTGTTATAAATATTTTATTCGAGGAGAGTGATATACGGTTTTGTGTATTCGGTTTACAAAAAATGCGCATATGTTACACGAGTACAAACCGCGTGTATCGCGTGTGTGTGTGTGTGTGTGTGTGTGTGTGTGTGTGTGTGTGTGTGTGTGTGTGTGTGTGTGTGTGTGTGTGTGGTGTGTTAGTGTTGTGTGTGTGTGTGTGTGTGTGTACGATCGTGGCCCTGCAAAATGTTCTGTACAACGCGTTTCGAACTTTAGTAATTCCACGGGTTAAGAAATTCATACTGAAAAGCGGCGTTAAAAGTATGCGGAGAATCGGTTTAACTTATTGTGCAACGGCATCGCAATATATATACGCGGTGTTCAATTGAGTGATGATATCGAATTAAACATTCGAGGCAGGGGCAGCCAATATTGACGTAAACGTAAAATATCACAAGCCTTGATTCTATTGATACACATGTGTTACGAGAATTGCCATCTCTGATTCCTAGTTAAGCGTGCGTATTTTGAAGGAGGGCGCAGGGAGGGGACACGTAGCATATATAGCGCAGTGTGGCTGAACGTGGTTAAAGCTGGTTTGAAAAACAAAACATGTTTAGAAGCATGCAAGTTCGTAAGAGCACAAATTACGCCCATTTACGCGCGCGCCGCGCGCGTGTGTGGTGTGTGTGTGTGTGTGTGTGTGTGTGTGTGTGTGTGTGTGTGTGTGTGTGTGTGTGTGTGCTGTGTGTGTGTGTGGCGTGTGCATGTCGCGTCTGTGGTTATTCGACGCATCAAAGCGGGTATCGGCTGCGTAACCCTCGCAGTCGTTTGGCAACCGTCACCACACATGCCCCACGAAGGTAACCGCAAAGCTTCTGGCAGCACCTCAAACGACCGACTGCCTTCTGGTCAGGAAGACATCCCGAGAGAAAACCGTTCCCTCAATCGTAAAAATCTGTGAAGGATTGTGTGGAGAATATTACTATACAATAGTAATACACGGATTGATACCTGTAGTTCACGAGTAACTATAAATACAAAGGGTCTATGTTTCGCTAATTGTCCACACAGGATCAAGCCGCTTGGCGATAGCATCCTAGCTTTGCAAAACTTAGCCTAATTACATTTAAGTAGGTTAAGCGCGAAGTGATGCTCATCTATTTATCGTTAAGGACGCGTTTCTATATTAGCTAGAATTTTTTTTAACAAATAAAGTTTTTGAGATCTATGAAAAAATAAAGCTATACTTTCGTCGGTCTTTAATATGTTTATTTTTGGGGCCTCTATTGTACTTGCATTCTTGGTGTTCGGATGGATGTATGACAATTTAATTCATGTACGCACGTATAGGCGAGAGCAAATAACATCCGAGACAGGTTCGGTGATGTAATGTTTAACGCATTCTAACTTTAGCACTGTAAAAGACATTCAATTTTATCTAACAATACACATCCCATAAATGCAATTGACACTAAGTAGGCTGAACAACAATACGTTGTATTACCACTGGGTCAGCACGAGTCGGGATAACTGTATCTGATGACAGTCAAAGTTTGCCGTCACAGGGCTAAGGGATAGCGGTCTAAGCTCCTGCATTTACATCTTCTAGTACGTCTGTACGAGCGTGTAACTAGTCGTCCGAGTCCTGCAACAGAAGAAAATATGTTTATTAGACAGAGTGTTGAGAATAGTATATTTAATGTATATAATATGTGTAAATCGTATATTGTATAGTTGTATATTGTATAATGTATATGTGTATGCTATATGTCAATCGTTATCTGTATATTGTATACTTGTATATTGTATTGTACGTAATGCCGTATTTCGGCTATATCCGTATTATTGTATATTATATTATTGTATATATAAATATATTAGTATAGCTGTATATATTAAAAATTTATATTGCTCACTTTTCCGTAGGCGACGGTGTCCAGCTGACTTCCCCTCGTGCTCATCCGGGTCCTTGAAGATTGACGTACTTGTATCGCAGCAAATGGCTGCCTCTTCGGCCATGGTACCCGAGCTGTGTCCATCGACCGATCACCGATGATCGCAATCTGAGACTGTCAAGATCATGCCGCAGTGGCGCGCTAACGCTGAGTGCAGGTCAGCGTGTTATCACGCTAGGCACAGGAGGGCGGAGTACCGTCCAACACCGTAATTGCCTACCCATGAGATATCCTATAAATATATACTTGAACGTACTATTTATTTATATACATAAAAATAAATAAATAAATAAATATATATATATAATATATATATATAATATCTATGCTGCTATCACGACCTCGTTCTACGTCATCGATGACGTCATTTATATAGAATATTGGTATATCTGTTGCTATCGCTTCTCCGTTTCACGTCAATGTCATTATCTCTAAAAAAGCTTTAATTTGGTACAGTCAGTGTGTGATTGTGTCAGTGTTACGTATGCGGACACGGGCGTGTGAGCACCGCGCAGGAAGCATTCGAACACGATTCTACCGATGCAATATAGATGAGCATACCCGAGAGGAGGTGTCCGGGCGTTATATAGCAGCTAACATGCGCTCTTTACAAGAGAATCTTGAGAAAATAGACGAAAGAAGAGAGAAGAGCGTGAGAAGATAGATTTATCGTGAGATAATTCTATCGTTTGTTTAGAGATTACGGGAGTGTATTGCAGAGTGAAGGTATCGTACCCGTTATCATGACTGTGCGGATGTTAGCCTGCCGTAGCTGAGATATGACAGGCGTGGTTTGAGGCTTCAGTCGGTTCTCCAGCGCTACGAGCCCGAGAAACTCCAGGTCGCATTCGACGTCCTCTCTAACAAGCACAGAAAACGATACTGGTCAGATACAAGTGATGATGTTGACACGGTGACTGATTGTAGTTGCTGACATATTTTTGAAACTAATATTCGAATAACGAAGTTCGTAGTTCGGTTAATATTGATTTTGTGTAGTCATAGAAGTACTGGGATTTCAATACGCTTTCAAATGACCAATATTACAATTAATTTAATAGACCAAATATAACCAAAGGGGGAGGGAGCTGGAAAACACAGATCGACATGCACGCAACCACGCACGGGCACGCACGCACCGCATCACGCACGCAACAGCACGCACAGCTGACACGAGAGAGTGAGTGAAGTGAGTAGGAAGAGAGAGAGGATGACGTAGGAAGAGAGATTGAGAGAGAGAGAAGAAAGTGTGTGTGGACGAGAGAGAGAGAGAGAGAGGCAAGAGAGAGAGAGAGAGAGAGAGAAGGTAGAGAGAGAGAGAGAGAGAGGAGAGAGAGAGAGAGAGGAGAGAGAGAGAGAGATGAGAGGGAAGGAAGAGAGGGGAGAGGGGAGGGAGGGAGAATGTTGGAAGAGACGTGCAGAGTGTGTGCTGTGGTGTGCGCGCAGCGGCGTGTGTGTGTGGTGAGAAAGGAGAATTAGGAGCGATCCGCGTAGAAACCAAAAAAACCTGTGGATGTTTTTCACTTTGTCCCACTGCATGTCAGGCATTCTCTTATAGGCGAGGGCTAGCATCCTGTATCCTTGCTGTGGGGCATACTCCCGGCAGCACCTCCTGGAAGTCGGCCGGCACTGGCAAGCAAGCATGCGAAAACACGAAGATATAGGTCGAACACGAACTCCTGCAATTCACCGCATGACGTCTTCTATCCGCATCATCTGGAAAATATCTAATCCGCAGTCGAATATTTAGTTTGGGGCTTTTTTGTACGCGACAAGAACC